GACATACACTGTGCCAACGAGTGCGATTCTGATTCCGAGGGCGTCGGGTTTGTGCATGTCGCCGCTGGGGGACATACCCCTGCCTGCTACCTGCGCTTGGGAGCGATAGGGGGCCCGATGCTTTATTACACGGACACTCGCGCCTGTTACGAACGCAAGCCGACGGCCGACCCGACGCCAAACCCCACGCCCACCCCGACTGCGGCGACGCTCGGCCCGACGCCGAGGCCCACGCCTAGCCTGACATCCAGCCCGATATCCTTCCCGACGCCGAACCCGGCGCCCAGTGCGATGGCCAGCCCAGCGGTCGCCCGCGTCGGCGGCCCGCACCTCGTCGACACCTACGGCCAAAAGTTCGACTTGCGTCAGGCTGGGTATCAAACGCCGATGAACATCCCCAGGTGGGCGCGGCGCTGGGCCAACTTCCTCGTGCAGGCGGGGGCGAGTCGTGCTGGGGCGGGGTGCGCTGATTTGCACTGTACGGATAACAGCATCAGCGGCACGTGGATTCAGGGCCACAGAGCGGTGGACCTGCGTTTAGGTCGCCGAAGCCGTGAGGCCGGTTACGGCACAGCGGATGAACTTTCGTAAGAAGTTCCGTGCCACAATTGCACGGTGGCGCCGTTCAGAACACAAAATATGGTGAAGGCTTTACGGCCCGTGTCGCCGACCCTGAACGTTTTGGTTGTCGATGGCGACGGGATATGTGATCACAGGAAGGAGCTAAAGGACAACGCGACAGGGTAGGCGGAGGAGTGTGTGAGAAGGAGGGGGGGGAGGGGAGGAGGAGGGGGAGGAAGACGTTGATTGTTTGCAGTTCGAGTGGCGCTCTCTATGCCACGTCTGGACGCGGCTGGCAAAATTGGTGCGTAGAGCCTGGGAGATATCTGGAGGCCGAGTTTTCATTAATTGGGGACCTCCCCATGGACCCCTCCCGGGTGTCTCCCGGGACCCCCCCAAGGTGGCAAAAGACGCCCATAGGAAGAGGAGGTCCCGGGTACCCCCAGGGACCGCCCCAAGGTTTCAAACGACGCCCAGGAGGAGGAGGACGGAGGTGGTATTCGGACCCGGGACACCCCCCGGGACCACCCCAGGACCCCCCCCCCCGGGCCCCCCCGGGACCCCCCCCGGGACCCCCCCCCTCGGCCGGCGGAAGGGAAGAAAGGGAAGGGGAAACCCTCTCGAGTCAGTTTATTGTACGCAGGAGGAATCGATAAAGCAGGAAGAGACGGAGGAGGGAGGAGGAGGAGGGGGAGACGACCCTGGACCTCCCCAAGGCTCGCCCCCGAGGAGGAGGAAGAGGAGGAGGAGGAGGAGGAGGAGGAGGAGGAGGAGGAGGAGGAGGAGGAGGAGGAGGAGGAGGAGGGAGGTCGACCCGGGATCACCCCGGGACCCCCTGCAGGACCCCCCTTGGGACCCCCCCACGGGACTTTCCCCTCGCCGGGTAAGGGAAGAAAAGGGGGGAACCTTTCGAGTCAGTTTACTGTACGCAGGAGGAAGCGATGAAGGAGGAAGAGACGGAGAAGGAAGGAGGAGGAGGAGGACGAAAAGGAGGAGGAGGAGGACGAGGAGGAGACGAACGAGAAGGAAACGGAGAGGATGGGGAAGGGAAGGAGGCACGGACGAGAAGAGCACCTCATTCCACACGCCGACAGGGTCAGCGGATTTGAACATATCCGTGAAACAGGGTTGGACAAGACACAGGCTCCAGTGGGCGGCGTCCCCAGGGAGGACGGCCACACGGTGGCTTCCACCCCGGACAGAGGGTGCGAGAAACTGATGGCTCTGTGATCCGGGCGGCCCGGCAGGGTAGTTCAATATGGTCCTCGCAGATGCCAGGTGTACTTTCCGCTGTCAGTAGCGTGCGGCCTCCTGCGACTGTTTCCCGCTTGTCACTTTGCCTCGTGGCTGCGGCTGGCGTTGAGCACAACGTAGTTCGTCGGCCACACTAGGAATCATATTGTCATCGAGTTACAAAATTGTCCGCCTCCGAATGGATGGTTCTGTAATGGTTACAACGGGACTCTTCTTCCTTAGACAACGAAGAAAACCATAACCAGACAAACGCGAACAACCGAACGAATGCAATCAGATCGTGAACATGACAAGCAGGATATAGGTGTTTGTGTGTGTGTGTGTCTGTGTACGCATGGTGGAACAGTGATAGGCGCGCGCATGTAAATGCTTGTGTGTACCCTGTGCGTGTGTCAAAAATAACACACATGCACAGACACGCACACACAAACTAACACACACGCACACGCACACACACACAGACACGGTTTTATCAAACTTACGGGAGAAGGAGAGTGATGGTAATTGTGGCAGACGAGCAGGATGAGGGTGATGCGCAAGTCGATGTTGATATGGGTGGTGATGGTACTGATGACGAAGATGGTGATGGTGACTGTGATGATGGGTAAGGGGATGAGGTGGCGCAGGCGCAGGAGGAAGAGGAAACTGTGGAGAACAAGGGGCAGAGGGAGAGAGAGAGGGACAAAGGAAGAGCGTCACATGTGGCACCTGCTGTTTGCAGTTCCCGACAAGTCCTCACAGGGCTTGTTTGAGCCGTCGTCTGGCCGTCTTCGGCTCCATGTAGGGCAGCATGGAGCTTTCTTCGGGACCTTTGAAAACGTCCGAATCTCCAAATTTCTTTTGTGCGGCGACAGTTGGGGCCACGGCGTAAACCTCACTTGCGACAGCTCGGCCGTTTTGGGGTTCTCTTGGAATGTTGTGGCCCCGTCGTGTGACGGGGTAGGGGGATGACGTTCAGATGATTGTCATAAGTGGGAGGGAGAGGATACGATAATGATGGTCATGAGAGGATGGGGAGGGTGATCATGATACCTGTGGCAGGCGGGTTTGTTGATGGTGAGCATTATTCGCGTGGACGGTCAATTGCTGATCATGGCGGTGATGCTGATGATATGGATGTGCACATGCAGATCCAGATTATGATGCCGATGCTACTGTTGTTGATGTTGATAATGCTGCTGATGCTGAGTAAGATAATGTTGTTGGTGATGCTGATGCCGATGATGATGCTGATGATGGTGGCGATGATGATGACAATTGTGATTGATGGTGATGGTGGTAGTGGGGTCACTGGAGATGATCAGTAGCATGAGGAAGCGAAGGACGAGACATGCCTTCAAACGTGACACTTTTCGTATGCATGTCTGAGGATTTCTTCTCATGGAGCCCACTTGTGCCGTCTCTGGGCTGGATTGGCTTCCTGTGGGGCAGGCTCGAGATCCCTTTGGGCATTTTTTTGGGCAGTCCTGGGGCCTTCTCGGATCATCTTGACGCTCTCCTCTTAGGCCGTCTGAAAGCGGGGGGGACCCTTGGGGTCGTCATGGGGCCGTCGTGAAGCTCTCGAGTCTCATCTTGGGTTTCTTCAGATGTCATCTTTGGCGGTCGCAGGGCGGAGGAGGAGGAGGATGAGGAGGAGGAGGAGGTGGGGAGGAGGAGAGACACGACAAGGGGAGCGCAGGACGGGGGATGAGGGAGAAAGGACGGTGGGACGGTGGGAGGGTGGGAGGGATGGGTAAGGAGGGAGAAGGAGGCGTTTGATAGGGGAAACCCTCTCGCCCCAGTTTTCCTCACAAGCGCCTACACGCCTTCCCCTTGAATGCCCAGCACGCTACGGGCCTTAGCCCCGTTACTCAAGGACTGCGGGAAGGTGTGATCGTACAGTTCAACGAGGCGTCTAGCGAAATGTTCTTCTTTTGCAGAATCGTCCCCCCCCCCCACTGTTGCAACTGGTGCACCAATTGTCTTGTTTGGTCATGCACTTCGAGGAATGCCCACGCTGTAGCTTGGCTTTTGAACAGGAGCCATCATCCGCGCAGCTCTTATACATACTCAACTTGGTGGCCTTGACTATTAAGACAGTCTGAAGTGACATCATCGCCACGTCATTCCGAGCAATGCCAAACAATGCCGACTAATGCCAAACATTGCCAAGCAATGCCATGTACTGCCACGCACTGCCAAGCAATGTCAGGCAATGCCCAGCAACGCCGAGCTACGCCGAGCAATGCCCAGCAACGCTACCTAACCCCAAGGACCGCAAGGCAATGTCACGCACTGCCACGCAACACTAGACATGCACGCACTGCCAACCATTTCCAAGCAATGCCAAACAACATCTTGCAGCACTGCCAGGCCATGCCAGAAGTTGTGGTAGTGGGGGGGGTGATGATAATGATGATGCTGATGGTGATGATGATGATGACGATGATGATGATGATGAGGAGGATGAGGATGAGGATGAGGATGAGGATGAGGATGATGCTGATGATTATGATGATGATTTTGATGATGGTGATGATGAGGAACTAGGAAGTGGGAGGCAGGATGGAGGAGAAATGAGGAGAGCATGTAGAAGGTAGTAGAGGTGAGGGTGGAGATATGCTTTTGATGCTGAAGATGTTGATCATGATCATGACGATGCTGCTGATGATGATAATGATGAGGATGTTGAGAATGATGCTGAGTATGCTGATGATGCTGCTGATGGTGGCGATGTTGGTGGTGGTGATGACGACGACGATGACGATGACGATGATGCTGATGCTGCTGCTGATGCTGATAGCGATGCTGATGATGATGATGCTGATGGTGATGCTGAAGATGAATCGGGTGCTGATGATGATGGTGATGGTGATGGTGATAATGCTGCTGCTGTTGATCATGAGGAGAAGGAGAAGGATGAGGAGGAGCAGGAGGAGGAGGACGAGGAGGCGGAGTAGGAGGAGGAGGAGGAGGAGGAGGAGGAGGAGGAGGAGGACAGGGAGCAGGACGGAGCAGGAGGGAGGAGGCAGGAGGAGAGAGGAGGAAGGAGGCAGGAGGGAGGGGAGGAGGAGGAACAAGGAGCGATGCGGGAGGCGGGATGAGGGAGTAGGGAGGAGGAGGGAGGGAGGCGGGAAGAGGAGGGCGGAGGAGCAGTAGGAGGAGGAGTAGGAAGTCGAGGAGCAGGGGAATCCCAGCAGCCGCAGGAGCCGGTTCAGGAGTCCAGCCATAACCTGTTCGAGGGCACGCCCTACGAGGCGGGCGCCGCCCTCCGGGCGGGTCGGCGCTTGCGCGCGTTGCCACCGATGCACTCGCGGTGACTAAAGGGCGGAACAGGATAGTGGTGACGATGAACGATGGGGGATGGACGATGCCCGACGACAATGACGATGACGATGACGATGGCGACCATGATGACGCTGATGACGATGCTAATGATGATGATGATGATGATGATGATGATGATGATGATGATGATGATGATGATGATGATGATGACGATGACGATGATGATTGTGATGATGATGGTGATGATGCTGGTGGCGGTGATGATGATGGTGGCGGATGATAGTGCTGATGTGGATGCTGCTGCTGTCGTTGCTGATGATGATGATACTCGTGTCGCTTGTTGTTGTGTATGATGCTGATGTTGCTGCCGCTGATGATGCTGATGGTGTTGCTGATGATGATGATGATGATGCTGATGTTGACGATGCTGTTTATGATGATGCTGCTGAAGACGATCACGATGAAGATGAAACTGATGATAGTGATACTGGTGATGCTGATGATGACGATGCTGATGATGATGCTGATGTGGCTGGTGCTGTTGATGCAGCTGATGATGATACTGATGTAGATGGTGCCGATGCTGATGCTGCTGATGAGAATGGTCATGATGAGCCTGATGCTGATGATGATGAGGATGATGATGATGCTGATGTTCATGATGGTGATGATGACGATGCTGCTGATGATGTTGATGATGATGTTGATGATGGTGATACTGATGATGTTGATGATGCTGCTGATGATGATGCGAATTGTTCTGCTTCTGACGTTGCCGAAGACGCTGACGATGTTACCGATGCTGCGGCTGCTGTTGCTGGTGTTGATGTTGATCATGCTGATGCTGATGACGAAACGGATGCTGCTGCTGATGTTGGTTATGTTGATGTCGCTGAGGATGATGATGCTGGTGGTGGTGATGATGATGGCGCTGATCCATATGATCTTGCGGAGGGAGAGGACGATGCTGATGCTGAAAACGATGCTGCTGCTGATGACTACGATGCTGTTGTTGATGCTGGTGTTGCTGATGTTGATGATGCTGAGAAGGATGATCATCATGCTGATGATGATGATGATGATGATGATGATGATGATGATGATGATGATGATGATGCTGACGTTGATGCTGATGCTGCTGATGCTGATGCTGATGATGCTGATGCTGGTGCTGATGATGATGATGATGATGATAATGATGATGATGATGATGATGATGATGATGATGATGGTGATACTGATGATGATGATGATGATGATGATGGTGGTGATGATGATGATGATGATGATGAAGATGCTGATAATGACGACGATGACCAGAAGGACTGCGGTGATGATGTGTAGGAGAAGGAGGCTGACGAGGAGGAGGAGGCGGAGGAGAATAACGAGCAGGAGAACAGCGCCAGCGAGATGTGGGCACGAGGAAAAGGAGGAGGAGGAGTGCGCGAGGAAGAGGCGGTGGAGTAGGAGGAGGAGGCGGAGGAGGAGGATGAAGAGGCGGAGGAGGAGGAGGAAGCGGAGGAGGAGGAGGTGGAACAGCAGGAGGGAGGAAGAGGAGGAGGAGGATGTGGAGGGGAGGAGGCTGGGGAGGAGCAATCTATGAAGAAGGCTAATGGGTAGGAGGATGATGAGGAGGAGGAGGAAGAGGAGGGTAGAGGAAGTGGACACGGAGGAGGAGGTGGAAGAAGGGGAGGAGGGAACAGATGAGGAAGATGTGGAGGGGAGGAGGAGGAGGAGGAGCTAGAGAAGAAGTATACTGGAAAGGAGGAGGAGGAGAAGAGCAGGAGGGGGAGGAGCAGGCAGAGCAGGAGGACCCAGAGCGTGCGCCACCCGCCTCTGAATGGCACGCCCGGACAGGACCTGCTCGCGCTTTCGGCTGCGCCGAGGAAGAGCAGGAGGGGGGCAGGAGGAGCATGAGCAGGAGGTTTAGGAGGACGGGACGGTAGCAGGAGGACCACGACGGCGGACGTGGGGCTGGCGCTCGTGGCCGCGCCAACCGCCTCCGAGACGCGCGCCGCCTGGGAGCGCATGACCGGTGGCAGGGGCGCCGCTGTTGCAGGGTAGTGGCATCCAGCGCGTTGTGATGTCCTCTCTATGTGTTTCCAGATGGAGCGTGTACCTTGTTTCGGCCTTGCGTCAGCAGGAGGACGAGGACGAGGACGAGGACGAGGACGAGGAGGAGCAAGACGAGCCGGATGCTGAGGAGAAGGAGGAGGAGGAGGACGACGACGAGGAGCGGAATTCAGCCTCAGAGGCGCATCGGCCGACCCACTTCGATCCCTTCAGCGTGGTCTGAGCTACATTGGGCCCGTGCTGGGCGGGAAACAAAATCCTGTTCGTCCTCGCCTGGTTCTGGCTTGAATTTCGTACACCGCGTCCTGTCAGCGATTCTTGCACGGTCATGATCAGGTCGCCTTGATGGCCCCTCCCCCTCCTTCTGTCCCTCTTGCTGATATGCCCTGAGATCTCTATGCTGTGTAACAGCGATGCTTGCTTCTGTATCGCCCGCGATCTCGCCGCACGCAGGACTCATCTTGAACGTCGAACCACATTTGTTGAGCCATGCGCAGTTGGCATTCGCTGGGCGTTGGCATCTGCCTCCTCCCCCCTGGCCCAATCCCCCGTGATATAATCCTGCCCCTCTCCCTCCCTTTCTCTTCCGCCTTTTTCGGGCTTCGAGCTAGCTCTTGGTTATTGGGTCGTTCAGTTCCGTCGCCTTCTTTTCCGCCTCGCGCTTCCTCACGGCCCTCAGATCGACGGTGTGCCGAGGGGGGGAGGTGAGAAGGGGCAGGCCTTCCTTGAAGATGGTGGGGCTTCTCAGAGGCCCTCCTGCCTTCAAATGCGCCGCTTCTGTCTCCGGAGAGGGCTCGGAGTAGGCTTCTCGGGAGGCCACTCGCCCTCTGAACCTTCTGGAGAGGCCCGCCCTTTCTGCCTTCCCTCCCTGGGCGCGCCGCCCACTAGAGTTAAGTCGGGCATGTCCCTCTACAGGAGGAAGGTTCGAAAATAGTCACAGAAATCGTCTGGGGACGATTTTTCGACGATTTTTTCATTTTGGAGGATTTTGTGGGGTATCTGTTTTTCGTCCAAAATCCGCCTGCAGGAGGACGCACCCGCACTAACACTAGAGAGTGTGGGCCCCCTGTTGCCCCCCCCCCACCCCCGTGCGCGCGCGAGGGCCTGGCGAAGTACCTGGCGGACCGCCGCTCCGCCCTCGGGCCCCTCTTTTCCGCCCGGGGTTTTGGTGCGGCAGAGGGGGGTCTGTGTGCAGTTCAGCCAGCCGACGAAGGATGGGCAGCCTTCCCCACGGGTACCCGTTGGTCGTTGAGAGTCGGTGTTTTGGGATCTCCAGATGTCAGTCTACTTTAGGCGCCTTCCTACTGCAATGATCGAGTGGCTTCACGTTTTCCGTCCTCTTTAGGGGGCGGGTGAAAACCCAATCTGTTTCAGCGCCTTTTTACTTAATGTTCCCTTGTATCCTTGCCTCTTCGGTCTTTTTTTGACCACGTTCGGTGGCCGCGCCCCGCTCGAAGAGCTTCGACATGGGTGTCTGAGGCCCTTGCATCCTCATCGCGCATCCTTGTGATGCGGGCCGACTGTATCCGACCAGGCGTGCCGAGTTCGAGGCGCTGTCGCGTTGCCGGATCACCCCAGGCATAAATGCGACAGCTGCTGGGTTGCCATGGACGAGCAATCCGCACAGAGGGCCCCTCGCCGAGGACGGTCAGTTGATGCTTCTGCCAAGCGAGCGTTGGCCTAAGCGGCGCCTCGACGTCGAGGGCAAGCATGTGACCGCCCCCGCCCCCGTTCTCTGCGTCGCCCTCGTGACTGCCGCTGGCCGCCGCCAGCGCTGCCTCCTCCGTGGGGTCCTCGCCTCCCCTGCTGCCACGTCTGCCGCCGGTTCTCCTCATTGGGTGTTGCTAGAAGTGCCCCGAGGTGCCTCCAGAATTCTCGTGGTAGCCCAAACGGCCTCCAGAGCACTCCTCACGAGGCCCAGAGGGCCCCAGGGGCTCCAACATAAAGCGAAAAGCTGGGGGCATCTTGGGCCAAGGGTACCTGCAGCAGCACCCGACTCCATTCTTTGCATCTGAGGAGGACAGGTACTGATACTGACGCCCTTTTCTTGTCTTCGCCGCTTTCGGCCTCCCGGGAGGCCATCGTCGTGATCAGAGAGCGCCTTGGGAGAGGTCCGGGGAGTAACGGCATCGGCACCTTTTGGTTTCCCCAAGTCTGCCTCTTGCCATTTGCTGCTCCTTCTCCTGCTGCCCCGCCTCCTCAGCGCTCTGGACATCTGCGGGCAGGTCCGCCTCGATGATACGGTCCAGCCGCATCGTACGCACGAGCAGCTTTCGAAGGATGCCCTTGCTCGGTATTACATCAGGGGAGCCTGGTATCCCCTCTTCATTCCGTCTTCAGCGTCGATTAGCCGACCATAGAACGCCGATTTAGCATCGATTAGCGTCGATGAGCGTCGATTTAGCGTCGATTTGCGTCGTTTTAGCGTCGACTAGCGTCGATTCGCAAGAGCCGAAAAATGGTTCGCTCCCATGGGTTTCCACCTAACCCTTGCATCCTTGCCGCTCGGCTCGTTTCCAGACCTCAGCCCCTAGCCATGGACCATTGTCTTCCAGGTCCGGCCTGCGTCTCTGAGCCCAAGTGCCCTGCGTCCTTGCCGCAAAGCTCCACGACCCGGTCGTACTGTGCCCTTGCCCTCTTCGCCACGCGGCGCGTTTCCTCGTTTCGGACGGGGCCTGGACGAGGGTAAAGCCGCTCCAGAGCGTTCCAGAACGCTCTCAGAGCGTTCTGGAGCGTTCTGAGAAGGCAACGCCGCCCGAGACATCCTCCAGAGCCGCCGGATGTCAGAGATTCTCGATCTATCTTCACCCGAATGTGTCCTCGTCCTGGCTCCGTCTTATCGTCCCTTGTCCCTCCAACCCCGTCTGCTCGGACCCCATCAGTGAGGTGTCCAGTCCTCCTTCCTCGTCCCTCGCTCACTGCCCCTCGTCGCTTCGCCCCCCCCCCCCCTCGATTCTCCCTCTACGAGGGGCCCCCCTGGGGTGTCGGCCGACTGTCGAACACTCCTTCTCTTTTCTCCCCTCTGGCGTGCGATCCTCGCTTGGCCCACGTTTCCTCCCCGCTCTCCTGGCCGGGAGGTCCTCCTCATTCTACGGTGGACATGCGTTGGCTTGTCAGAGCCATCGCGTCTTTCCTCCTCCTCATCCGCCTCCTCCTCTTCCTCTCCTGCCTCCTCCTCCTCCTCCTCTTGCCTCCGGTACCTCGCTTCCTCCACGTCCCCTCCTCGCAGCGCGGCCAGGGCCGGCCCCCGGGGGTATGCGCCCAGGCCCGCGAGGCCGAGGTCCCCGCTCCCGTGTCCGCGCGCGCGCCTCGGGCCGTGCTTCTTCGCGCCGCCCACCGCCTGGGCGCCCCCCCCTTCCCTGGGGTCGGCGGCGAGCGAGGGAAGGAAGCGAGAAGGAGACGGCCGCCTCCTCCTCCCTCCTCCCTCCTCCCTCCTCCTCCTCCTTCTCCTCCTCCTCCTCCTCCTCCTCCTCCTCGTCCCCCTCCTCCTCCTCCTCCTCGTCCTCCTCCTCCTTCTCGCCCTCCTCCACCTCCTCCTGCTCCTCGTCCTCCTCCTCCTCCTCGTCCTCTTCCTCCTCGTCCTCCTCCTCCCTCCTCCTCCTCCTTCTCCTCCTCCTCCTCCCTCCTCCCTCCAGTAACATTTGGCTCGGACCAGTTTGGCTCACCAGAGCTGGCTCGAACCAGGTGGCTGTACAATCCGCACAGGGTGGGGTAAGATACGCGGGCAGTATATTTGACCCATTCTCGGACTTGAAGGGGGAGCGCCAGGCGTCGCGCCGCTGAAAGTTGTACGGTTTCTTCTACCTCCAGGCTACGGAGTAGGAGGTTGACCACCACGTCACCAAAATCGATTGCAGGTCCCAGGAACAGGTGAGCATCATCATGGGCGTGCAGCGGCAAAGTGGGAACAGAGAACCTTTTTGGCCAGACATGCCCCACAATACCAGGTTTTGGTCTCTTATTCTTTGTGCTGTTGCAACCGACGGTCGGCATTTTGTTTCGAAGATTGCTCCGGAAAACACGCTACCGACTTTCGAGCAGATGTTGAGCATTCAGAGTATGTCAAGCACGTGGTGATTGCAGCTTTGTGGGAGGAGAGAGCCTTTTTGGCCAGTCATGCCCCACATACGGCTTGTTTTTCCTGCAGTGGCGGTCTTCTTGAGGAAGGAGATGGGGTGCGCTGCTGCGGGGCGCTTTTCTCCGTGTCGGAGAGCTCGTTGCATTGCGTCGTCGTCCTACGTTGCGGTGTTTTGCGCAGGGCACTGCGATTCACGCGTCAAGAGTACGTGGTTCGGTGGGCTTCAGCAGCCTTGTGATGGGAGAGTGCCGTTTGTGGATTGGAAGCCTCGTTCTGCGGTTGTTAGCTGTGCGGGAGAATGGACGCACGGGCGCCAACAGGGTGAGCATCACATTGAACGTTAACTGCGGGCGCATCCATAGGGCTATCCTATATGTTGTCGTGGGCGGCACCGTTGGGCAACCTCCCAGAGCTACGTCCAGGTGCTGTGGGGGCTCGACAAGTTGCATGTGATTGAGTTCGCGGCTCGCGGCTTCGGCCCCGCAGATGTATTCTGCCCTGGTAGTGGCAGGGAGGTGGAGGCCCGCCCTGTTTCTGGGGCTGGCTCGCGACCTCATGAGCCTGCGCAGCGTGCGCGGGAGGGGGGGGCGCGTTGGCGGAGTCGACCGCGTTGCCATAGTTCTCGAGTCCTCGAGTCCTCCTCCCTCCTCCTCCTTGTCCTCCTCATCCCTCCACCTCCTCCTCCTCCCTCCTCCTCCTCCTCCTCATCATCATCGTCAATCTACCTCGACGCGAAGGAGGGCCCGAAGGGGCCCGGGGGGGGGGCTTTGGAAGCTTCTTCGAAGGCTCGCGGTCTTTCTGTTGGTCCAGGGCCAAGGCGGCTGGACATGCGCGCCAGCGGAGCTGGCGGAGTCGGGCTGGCTCAACGTTGTCGTAGGCGCGATCTTTCAGCCCAACGTGCCCGCGTGCTTCACTGGGCATAAGGAGGTGGGGGAAGGACGGGACGGAGAAGTGGGCCCAGGTGGAGGGTGATATCGACCTCCTCGCAGGAGCCAAGGTCCTCAGGCATTGCCCCCACAGGGTGGCAGCCCTGTCGAGGCCCCGTCGTCGCCCCGCGTGCCCGTGGTTGCCGTCATTGAAGGACCCTGTCTCGAAGGCCTGCTTCGGGAAGGCCAAGACGTTCAAGCAGTTCCCAGTGGCCCTATGTTTCGTGCGAAGAAAATTATGCACATGCACCGATCTTGGCCTGTCCCATCCTGGGCCCAGGATCGGTGCCCGTGCCCTCCTGGCCAAGGCAGGATGGCGTATGCACCGATCCTGGGCTCAGGTTGGGCCTGGCCAGAACCGGTGTATGTGCATAGTTGTTTTTCCACTAATGTTGAGGATGGCCCCATCAGCAGGCCGACCGGAGGTGGGGGCCCGACCAGATCCCAGAGGACACGCCTGGAGCCGTTCGGGAGTGGTTCAACAGCTCCGAGGCCTGGCCGGGAGTTGTTCATGCTGTGCCTGATGACCAGCGGCGGTGAGCGTTTATGGGACGTGGGCTGGGTCTTCATACGTGTGCCCCTCCAGACCCTGTGGGATCGCGAGGCTCGACGGAGGTGCGGTCCTTGGACGACGTGCCGGGTGGCTTTCCAGAGCCTGGCCCTCCCGGGCTCCACGCTGGTTTTGGCTCCCTTGGGGATTCGAGTCTTGGGCGCGGCCTCGAGATGGGCCAGTACTCTCCTGGAGATGCTAGGCGCCATGTGCGCGGAGGACCCCCCATATCATTCGAAGCTGCAGGAAGGCGTCGAGGGCCCCAGTGAGCAGTAGTTGCGCGCCATGATCGGCCAGATCCGCCATGGCACCGCGCATATCGATGACGCTTGCTGGTTGGAGCCGGCCGTTTTCGCTTCCTTTTTACAGCGCGCGGATGAGCGAGAGCGAGGCCGCAAGTGGGGGACCTGGGCTAAGGAAGCGGCGCGGAAAGGGGGGGGGGGGGGGCTGCTCACGCCTATGCCAGGAAGAAGCACGTGACCCCCACCAGCGCGATCGATTTCAAGGGCCTCCTTGTCAATGGCGACGAAGCCATAAATAGCCCAGCTCCTCGACGAGTGGCTCCCGA